ATGACGTAAGAAAAGACGCCAACCAAAAGAACAAACTAAGGGACTGTGCAATAATTATCAGGGGGGGGCTGAAAAACTAGAGGGGGTGCATTACATAAAATTGCTGCCGAGATAGGGGGGGCTTAAAGTAAAATCACTCAGTTGAGGGAGGGGGGGGCCTTAAGTTTTATTGAAATGTAAATAAGATTAAACGCAATAAAAGATTCTCAATACAGGCATCATGATAGACTGTAACATATATCAATATGAACAGCTGTTAAACGATTATTGAAAATATTCCATCAAAATGAAAAGCAAATTCACAACTGGTCAATCTTAATTAATTGAGCTGATCCTATGCAAAGCAAAAATCATGAACTTGTTTTTCAGCTTCCCCCATAAAACAATGGGAATCAAACAGATCTCGTAGGCAAGCTTTGTCGGTTTTTGATGTGAATAAAAGTAATGTTTCTTCATCGACTGAATCGATTTGCTGAATGCCATCTATATCTGGCTCATAACAAAGTTCATCAAGCTCTCCTCCCAAGGATCTAAATATAATACAAGCTCTCGTGCGACGTTATTTTCAACATAACAGAGGGGGGTTAGAACTAATTTTTTTTATTTTGGAGGGGGGGTACTGTCTAGTTTTTCAGCCCCCCCTCTCCTGATAATTATTGCACAATCCCTAAGAACCTTCCGAAAATTTAAAACAATAGAAAATTATAAATGTGAAGATTATCTCCGTCAGGCCACCAACGTCCAACACCGGATAACTCTAACTAAACTCCGTCTAAGTAATCACAAATTGGCGATAGAGACAGGTCGGTATGTAAGACCTTATAAGAAACCAGAAGACAGGATCTGTCCTATCTGTAAAAAAGACGTAGAAGATGAAATATACTTTTTAACTCTGTGCCCTGCGTATCAAGAAAAACGAAGTACTTTATTTGAATACTTAAACAAAGAATAGAGAATATCAGTAAACAGAATGGCACCAGATGATGTTTTTCTGTTGTTAATAAACCCTCCGAGCGAGAACAAACCAGTGCAAAAGTTAATTGCAAAACACGTATTCGACTGCTATGAGAAAAGAAGATCATTAGTTGTTTAGGTTAACATTGATTATAGCCTCCACTAGTGTGCAATTTGTGTTATAATTTTAAATTATTTGGATAAAGTCGATATACATAGGACTGTATAAGACTCCAAATAAAACATTGTCTTGTCTTGTCTTGTCGTGTATGTCATTACTCCTCTCTGCCGGTCCCTCTCCCTTTTTAGGGTAGTCCTGTGCTTTCTTCGTTTCATCCTACATGACGTATTTACATGATGGGTCGTTGTTTGGTGGGGGTTCTAACGGAAGCAGCAGCAAGAAATTTACAGCACGATGAATGAAAACGAGGAACCACAAACTCAAGTAACTGATGAAAAGTTCAAAGATGGAATACTTCATAGATTAAACGAGCTTAGAAAGGCGAACATCAGGTGTGACACTACCCTTCGAGTAGAAGGACAAATGTTCCCTGCTCACAGCCATGTGTTATATGCTGCTCCTGATTACTTCAGTACGGTGGCTCGTAGGGACAAAACACTTCCCAGATTCCAAAAACACGTCCCAGAATCCAAAACACGTCCCAGAATCCAAAAACACGTCCCAGAATCCAAAACACGTCCCAGAATCCAAAAACACGTCCCAGAATCCAAAAACACGTCCCAGAATCCAAAACACGTCCCAGAATCCAAAAACACGTCCCAGAATCCAAAAACACTCCCCAGAATCCAAAACACGTCCCAGAATCCAAAAACACTTCCCAGAATCCAAAACACTTCCCAGAATCCAAAAACACGTCCCAGAATCTGAAACACTTCCCAGAATCCAAAAACACGTCCCAGAATCCAAAACACGTCCCAGAATCCAAAAACATGTCCCAGACTCCGAAACACTTCCCAGAATCCAAAAACACGTCCCAGAATCCGAAACACTTCCCAAAATCCAAAACACTTCCCAGAATCCAAAAACACTTCCCAGAATCCAAAACACTTCCCAGAATTCAAAAACACTTCCCAGAATCCAAAACACTTCCCAGAATCCAAAAACACGTCCCAGAATCCGAAACACTTCCCAGAATCCAAAAACACTTCCCAGAATCCAAAACACGTCCCAGAATCCAAAAACACTTCCCAGAATCCAAAACACGTCCCAGAATCCAAAAACACTTCCCAGAATCCGAAACACTTCTCAGAATCCAAAAACACGACCCAGAATCCGAAACACCTCCCAGAGTCCAAAAACACGTCCCAGAATCCAAGGATCATGATTAATAGAAGCAACCTGTAGAAACATAATCCTTCTGGAATACCCATCGATCCAGCCACTTATGCAAAATCCAGAAAGAGCTAGCTTATCATATCCGTCAATGTGCCAAACTGCGTTTGGACCTGGGCATCTGTACTGCCTTCGTTCAAATCGTCTTTGTCTTCTTTGATTAACGCCATGTGGATCAATATTCTTTAAGAGTGATCTAACAGTATGCCTTCCAACCAAAAGATTATATTTCCGCCGTAGCCGTCTCGTCATAGTTCGATAACCAAGGAGTTTACCCCCGGGGGGGCACTTGGATATTTTTTGGGTGGGTATGTGCCGCCAGGGACTCTAAATTGGCACCCCGTTCTAAAAAAAATTTCCCCTAAAATTGATACCCCGTTATAGAAATGAGCCAATTTTTTTATACCCCGTTCTAGAATTCACCCTAAAACTGATACCCCGTTCTAGAAATGGGCCAGTTGCTTATACTCCGTTCTAGAAAGTTTGTAAATTGCAAAAGCCCTGTTTTTTAAAGAGATATTTCTTTCCTTGTTCGACTTATACATCAAATAAATGCTTCTTCATAATCAGCAACAATTTTAAGCAGAAGATAAAGCCGTGATCCACAATTTTTTATACCCCGTTCTAGAAAACGCCTCTGAAATGGATACCCCGTTCTAAATCAGGAGCTTCAAAATCACGACCCCATTGGGCGGCACATACCCGTATAGGTAATGTATGGGAGTGCCCCCCCCGGGAGTTTACCTGGACCATTCAGCTCCAAAGCAATTGGTTGGCGTATGTTGGCAAGTGGTGATTGATTGCCTTTTCTTCGCAATCCTAGCTTCTGGTTTATAAATTATTTAAATTGTCTTAGAGTCCAGTGAATGCCATGATAAGCGAAAAGAAACATCAATATGGTTGTATATCGATGCCCCTGCCTCCAATACACCGCTACGCATTCATCGACTGTATTGAAAGTTGCCGTGCAAATACAATCTGGTAATCCCACAATATCAACCACATTTTGAATCAATAATAATAATATTACTATAACTGGTAATCTCATAATGATCCGTGTCAGGCAGCTTGACTTGACAACCAGGCCTCCTTTGATTGTAAGTGCATTCTGGGAACTGTTTTTTTTGGGAAGCACTTTTGGATTCTAGGAAGTGTTTTAGATTCTGGGATGTGTTTTGGATTCTGGGACGTGTTTTTGGATTCTGGGACGTGTTTTAGGATTCTGGGAAGTCGTTTGGATTCTGGGATGTGTTTTTGGATTCTGGGAAGTGTTTTTGGATTCTGGGAAGTGTTCTGGATTCTGAAACGTGTTTTTGGATTCAGGGAAGTGTTTTGGATTCTGGGAAGTGTTTTTGGATTCTGGGAAGTGTTTTGGATTCTGGGAAGTGTTTTTGGATTCTGGGAAGTGTTTTGGATTCTGGGAAGTGGTTTTGGATTCTGGGAAGTGTTTTGGATTCTGGGAAGTGTTTTTGGATTCTGGGACGTGTTTTTGGATTCTGGGACGTTGTTTGGATTCTGGGAAGTGTTTTTGGATTCTGGGACGTGTTTTGGTTTCTGGGAAGTGTTTTTGGATTCTGGGACGTGTTTTGGATTCTGGGAAGTGTTTTGGAATCTGGGAAGTGTTTTGTCCTTATGAGCCACCGTACTTCAGAGCTCTGTTTTCCAGCGAGTTGCAAGTGAAAGAAAAACAGGAAAATGTAGTGGAGCTTAAAGTGGTTAAGTCAACCATAGTGGAGGAGGTTTTGGAATTTATTTACACTGGTCAAGCAAGCATTAGTTACTCAAGTGCTCACGAACTGCTTGTGGCATCTGACTACCTTATAATTCCCAGTTTAAAATCACAAACCTCACAGTTCTTGGAGAAGTCTATGAATGTATCAAATTGTTTTACATTGGAGTCCTTCGCTTGTCAGTTCAACTGTGATTCGCTTAGACAAACAGCTATTAAATTCATGAATGAAAATTTTGTTGCTGTTGTGAAATCAGAAGATTTCCTAATACTTGAGTTCAACAAAGTCAAAGAATTGATGTGTCGAGATGAGCTGAATATCTCTGAAGAAGAAGAGGTTTATGAGGCAGTGTTAACATGGGTCAAACATGATTTGTCATCAAGAGAATGTTTTCTCGCAGATCTACTGAAATGTTTGAGAGTATTCTCCTTGTCAAAATATAGTATTGACAGAATTCTTAAAAAAGAAGAGTTGGTAAAGAAGAGTCTCACTTGCATTGCTATCATGAATACTGGCCTGGAATATTTTCTGTATCCTGATCGGTTTCTAGGGAGTGTGCTTAAACATCGCAATTCAATTGAGAAAGATGAACATGTAGTACTTCTCCACGATGGAGTCGAAATTAATGCTGATGCAATTTCTAGGGACGTTTATTGTTATGTCCTTTCTACTAAGAAGTGGCAGCAGTTATGCTCAATCCCTCCCTTTATTGATGATGAATGTGCTGACCTGGTCTCTGCAGTTTGTTTTGGATGTGTATATATGTTAACTGATGTCCTCAAAATATGCTGTTTTAATCCTCAAAAAAATTCATGGAAGTCAAAGGAAACAGAGTGCTTCTCTCAAGAATTGGCAGGATTTACAGTGACGTCGTTCAATGAGGAACTTCATGTCATTGGTGGACATGATGAATATTTGAATGCAGTACGTACTGTTCTTAAGTACAATCCAGTTTGTAATGAATGGAAGCAGTTATAGCATCCATGGAGACTGGACGCTGCGGTCACTGTGCTGTTGTTCTAGAAGATCTTATTTATGTGATTGGAGGTGTTGATGGGGGGACCTGTCTTAAGAGCGTCGAGAGCTTTGATCCATCAACTAACCAGTGGAAAAAGGTTCCTGATCTGGCCAATGCCCGTAGGGATCCAGCAGCTGCAACTGTTTGTGGAAAAATTGTTGTTGTTGGAGGATTTTGTAATATAAGGCTTTCTGCATCATCAGTAGTAGAACCAACATGTGAGGTGTTTGATCCATTTCTCAATCAGTGGAGCTCGTTATCAAGCCCAAATGTTCCACGAGCAGCCTGTGGAATTGTGAGTGTGGGTGACACTGTGTATGTGTTTGGTGGATACGGTGAAGTAGTGCTCTGGACAGTGTAGAACATTATGATGCAAAATGCCATGAATGGCAAAAAGTAGATGCTAAAATGCCTAAAGCTAAAGGATTCATTCGAGCATCTTTGGTGAAATTGCCCAAGGAGTTTATCTGCAATGATTAAAGATACTGTAATTGCCTAACCTCTACCAAATGATACCAGTGTTTCTTTGTTGATGAATGGAGTTTGATAGCAAATGCCTGAAGTGATTACAGTGGATAAACACTGGTGAGAGGTTTTAATTTAGACCTCCAAATTTTATCAATGAACAGTCTCTGAACAGGTTCTTTTATTGAAGAATAGGGATTTGAAAAGGTGGGAAAGCAAAAGCAGAAGGAGTGGAGGAAGTGTAAAGGGTAGAGGAGGGGTGAGTCGGGGGGGGGTTGGAACCTCTAGACAAAGACTTGATGCCACCAATCCACCTAGAGTTCTTGTTAAACTCCTTATGATCAGCTGTCAACAAGGTCATTGCAGTGCTAAGGACTTACAGAAATTTGACTAGTTTTGGGTGTGAGTATGTGAGTGTGAGAAACTTCCAGTGAATTTCCTTTTTTCAGGCAGTGAAGTTTTTCTGCAGGTGTAAACATTTTTAGGTTTGTACAGGTACCCACAGCTGTAAACAGTTTTGCTTTTTTGAAAGGATGTTAGGCAAAGCCATCATTTTGGTCATTGTCTTATGAGAAATTTTGGTCATTGTCAAAAAGGAAATATTTTATTAGAGCTTATTCAGAGGAAGACATTTAGATGTCAACAGATGTCAATAATTATTTATTGTGAGGCTGTTGAAAATACGCCATTGAATTTATTTCATCATGTTGAAGGTTTGAAAGTGTTTCTTAAAGGAACACCTTCAACCTACTTTACTAGTGTGTGTCCTAAGGTGAAACACTTTCAAAAGACGTGACCACGCCAGGTCAGCTGTTGCGACTTTTGGTTCACGTAATTGAAGCCAAGTAACCACTTTTACAGTTTTTACCCATTTGAGCCCAAAGGTTTTTCATTTCAAAATGCTATATCTCCTATAGCAATTGAGCTTTTCACAAAATGTTTTCACATTTGTGCCTATCAGGTCATGCTCTTTAAAACTTATCTGTTAGGTCACTGGTTGAAGTTTGAATTTTGCTGCCAATCACGTGATGTCATTTTCCGGCTAAAACCGTTAAAATCGAAAAACAAAAAACGTCATATGATTGTTTGGATTACAAAGTTCTACCATCCTGTAGACTTTGGGCTCAAAACAGATAAAAACTGTAAAGTAGTTCCTTGGCTTCAATTAGGTGACCCAAAAGGGCTGACAGCTGACCTGGAGCGGGCTCTGACCTAAATAGCTTTTGTTTTAATGTTATTATTTTCATGACATGAGTTGACCATGACCTGTTTCTCATTAATCAAGAGACTACTCTGAGCAATTAAAATTTAAAAGAATGCGTGAAATAGCAAAGCAGCATGTAATAATTTAATTATTATTTTAAAAATACTATACATTTCTATGTCAGCTGATTTCTTGGACGTTTTTTAAATACATGTATCAAATTTTATGGGTTATGACTCAAACAACCTAACCTAATAAGCAAATCAAGCCAATTTCAAAATTTTTTAACCAGAGAAGGGTGACCAGCTTAAAGAGAAAAAATTATTTCTCCTTGAAAAATAGAAGATGAACCGGAAGATGATTAGTTCTGGCTCAGAAGTGAGGCTGGATTTCAGTCACCAAGTTAAGAAAAATCACGGCAGTAGCCCAGTATATTAAGGTTTTTTCCTATACAGCCGCCTCTTATCCCTCCCCGCAGCTCGTACATAAAAGGTCTCAGACATGTATTCATTGGTTAACTCACAAGGGATCAGAAGGGTAGTAATTTCTTTCTTATCATTTTGTTTGGTTCAAAATATACTATTCTGAGTTCCTTTAATCTTGTTTCTTCTATCATATTTTTTCTGTTCACCTTGACCTCTTGGCCTTTTTGTGGTCTAAAGGCACATATCAGGGTCATAGCTGACTGTATGCTGGTATGGATATGCATACCTGAATCTCAAAGTGTAATAAAAAAGAGGGGGGTGAATAGGGATATGCAAATCCGCCAATCCGTTATGATTTATTAACCAAATCTGCCCTTCCATTTTTGCCGATCAGTTTGCCTATTCACCCCCTCAAAAAACATTGAAAAAGTAACAGAATGAAATTTTAGCTATAGCTGAAAAAGGCGAATCCCCTATGGAACTCATGTTCGGACAAAATTGAAAGACAAAGCAATGGATAGTAATGGAATGAAATTTAGCTATAGCTGAAAAAGGTGTATTCCCTGCATAACTCATTTTTAAAACCAAAATGCAGTGCTTATCCCGATTTTGCATAGGTCAACACACCTAAGTCTGTTACTGTTGGCTCCAGGACACAGTCCTTCCTTACAAGTTTAACTTGCTAGACTGATAAACAATGAAAACTGAATTTATTCAATGCACCAGTGCGGAGATGGGATAGGATGGATTTGGAAAACAATGCATACCTAGCTGTGCCCCCGATAAGGAGTCAGCAGAAAAAAATTAGATCAGATGGTATTTGAACTCACCAAAAAAGGCTGTGTGTCTTGCAATACACTCCCCCCTCCATAAATAATGACTGGTCCCTAACATAATGGGGCTGTCAATAAGATGTCAAGATGCTGGGTATATGCAATAATAGCCAGGCAGGTAAATTTTTCACGTATATTATGTAAGGGTAATCATAAGAATCAGGTTGTTCAATTTGAAATTTATTTGCACACATGTTTTTCAAAAAGCTCAAATCGCAATAATGCTCCACTGGCTTATTCAATTTTGATTCTTTTTGAAAAAACACACTCAGCCAAATATAAAATCCAATTGAATTCGAAGTCATGTGATTACCCATACAAATATTTCTCTATTTCTGAATGGCTTAAATCCTCTGTATATAATTTTAGAATTATTTACTGTATTTATTCAAATAAGCGCCCAACCTTGAATTAGCGCCCACCTCGAGTAAGCGCCCATCCTAATGGCAGAAAAAGGTTAATAAGCGCCCAGCCTCAAATAAGCGCCTACCCCCTCCTCCTCCCAATCAAACTCAAATAAGCGCTCACCCCCACCCCACCCACTTGAGTGAATAAATTCTAATAAGAGACTTTCCCGAGGACGGAGTTTTCTTGAGAGCATTTTACAGAAACCTTGCTTTGTTACTTCTTTGCGTTTTGTTATTAGCATTTATTGTTTTGTTGCAAAATAAACATACTTCACTTGCTGAAAATGGTGAAAATTTAATAAGCGCCCAGCCTCGAATAAGCGCCCACTCTCAAGGCCCAAAAATTTACTAAGCGCCCAGGGTGGTTAATCGAATAAATACGGTACCATATTTGCCATTCTTGTGCTCCCCAAATTTGCAAGATTTGTGATTTCCCTACTATGTTACTGTTGAATAACAGAAAAATAATTGGATGATTGTTGTCATGCAAAGACAGTGATGCAGCAGCTTTGCCTTTTGCTTTTTCTGATAAGCTTGTAAATCCCCTCTCTATACTACTGTATTACCATCTCATGGTCACCAAATTTGCAACATTTGTGATTTGTCCAATAATTTACTGAATAACAGAAAAATAATTGGATGATTGATGTCATGTAATGAAAGAGTTGCAGCAGCTCAAGAAAATGTTACATAACCCAAAATACCGAATAAAAGAGATAACAAGACTACACAAAAATGTTTATGGATGTTGAGAGTTTATGACGAATATCTTCAAGAAATGGCAACTTTTTATGGATATCCTGAAAATGCTAAGGAAGTGGTATTTTGTAAGTACCTGAGATTTTTTTTAGTGATTTCAGTTTAAGAAATTTTAAGTTCCATACGTAGAAACAATTAGCACAGAATGACTGTACTGCTAGTCTTTCAAAGCACACACAGATAAACACAAACATCTCCCATCAATCCTTTTAACTGCTCAGGAATTGCTGGCATTATTAGCCCAAATTAATTAAAGCAAAAATGGTTCATTGACTGCATTATATCAACCACTAATATTTACTTATTTGGTAATTTCATCAAAGATGTCCAAATGCACCCTTTAGCAACAGGCATGCAGACAGTGTCTACTGTATGCCATTCATTACACAATTAGCATCAAAGCATTCTACACTATCCAGGGCAGTAAGCCAGTATCTCCATGGTATCCTCCAAAAACATACACACTGTCATCCACACACAATTCCACATGCTGCTAGTGGAACATTTTGGGCTGGGTAACAGGCTCCACTGATTTAGACATGGATCAAACACCTCACAAGTTTGTTCCACCACTGCAGATGGAAAACCATTCATATCATAAAATCCTCCAACAACAATAATTTTCCCCCAAACATCAACAGTGGCTGCCACTGCAACCCTATGGGCATTTGCCAGATCAGGAACTTTTCTCCACTGGTTGGTTGATGGATCATAGCTCTCAACACTCTTAAGACAGGAATGGCCATCTTGATCTGTGATCACATAAATGAGATCCTCTAGAACAACAGCACAATGATTAGCTCGACCAGTTTCCTAACTGCTCCATTTATTACAGATTGGACTGTATTTTTAAATGGTTCGTACAGTACTACCTCTTGATAAGAATCATCACACCCTCCAATGACATAGAGCTCTTCATTGAATGAAGTCACTGTAAAGTCTGTTTCAATTTCACTGGGCCATCGTGTTTCCTTTGCCTTCCATGAATTTTCTTGAAGATTAAAACTGTAACGAGTATGCCTTTAGGTTAGTGTACATGAAGTGTCATCCGGGTACGCGTTCAGGGGTTCCTGTGCAAAATAAGTTAGCCCGCCATCTTGGTTGTTTTGTGTTATGGCAGCTGATAAATAAATCTATACCTGCCAACTTTTTATTTTGTTTATTATATACATACTGAGACATTCATCATTTTGGCGGACTTTTTTTTTTAAATCTTTCAAAGATATAAGCGTGAGATTTTTATCCTCGGATTTTTTTAAGAAGACGAC